AAAATTTGATACAGCTAATGTTCACGCTGAGCCACTCGAGTTAACCCAAATAGCTGGGTAGATGCTAGAGATTATCTATAATAGCTAGTGGGAAAAAGGAATTGTTTGTACTTTGTCTATGTCGTGTGCTGACAGAGCAGAGGTTAAGCCAAGAGGCAGATACCCTACTGGCTGCTCAGACCAAGCCAGGTACTGGCTCTGTAAGTGTCTGCAACATGGTAGGGGTGGCTGCCTATGGCAGAAAGCAACCTGTGACAGGCAGTGTAAGAGCAGGCATGGCATCTCTCATAGAAGTGAAGAAGGCTCCATGTGTTTACCTCAGATGACTTTGAGAAGTTTCTTTTTTTTATAGACCCCAGACATACTAAGTGCGGCTCCCAGCTCAGTTGGACACATATGGGGTCCAGTGTTAACTCTACAGCCCACAAAATGAAGACTTACAAGCTATTGACCAGAACTGGTCTTTCTTTATCTGAATTTTTTCTATTTTGTCAAAAATCAAAAGACCCAAGAACCTTGAGCTACCTCACCCAGAAGGCATCAGTGGTGTGGCAAGGCAGGTACATGTCTTACTGAGTCTTATTTCAACCTGGGGTCCATACTGAGTACTCACTTTGGGCTCCACATCTGGGCAAACTAGATTTTCTCTAGCTGAGTGTTTATGGAAGATCTTGACTGTGTCCTGAACTCTGGAATGGTGAGAAGATGCCAGATTTTCTAGAAAGAAAACAGTCTAAGATGGTTTTGTCCACACGTGGAATTCAGAGGCTAGAATGAAGCAGTCTTCATTTTTTTCACCTATCAAGCTGTACATATTTCATACACTGCTTTGGTAGAGTCTAGGTAATTGCTAGGGGACATAGGCGAGCTATAAAGATCTCTTTTGAGTTCACTATGATAATTTTAGAGTTATAACTGAATCTTTTGAGCTTCCGTTAATGAGCCACATAATTTTCTAGAATTTCCCTTAATAAATCTATCTTTTCAATCCCTTTTAACCTGCTTGTATTTTTCAGCCTATACATGTACTGGTATGACTCACTCATAGGCAGTAGTGTAGAGTAGGTGAATGGTTTGGTTATGGAGTTAAGCAAATTTTGTTTGAAATTCTAGCCCCACTGCTCACTGGTTGTGCCGCTATGGTGAGCTACTTAAAGCACCTAGCAGACTGTTATGGTTTGTGTCTAGTTGTTCCCCCAAAGCCTCATGCAGTCATGGGGTGAGGACTTCTAGAGTTTGTGTTAACTCATGATCCACTGGGATTATGTGTGATCCAAGGCTGGGATTATGGGTTTTAGTACTGCTGGGATTACCCATAGGTGGGTAAGTACTGGGAAGTACCCATAGGTGTGAGTACTTCCCCTACCCTGGGGCAGGTGATTTGCATTACAGTGTAAGGTGGGAAGAGAAGCCAGCTGCTTGAGCTGCTGCTACCCCTCCCTTGCTCTCTTGCTATTTGCTGCCACCATGAAAGGTTGCCCTCTGCTATGTGCTGCTCTGCGTTGGACCCAGCTGAGTATGGACTGAAACCTCCAGTAACTGTGAGCTAAATAAACCTTTCCTTCCTTCATTTTGAGTGTTGGGTATTTGTCCCAGCAACGAGAGAAGGGTAACTAAGACACAGACTTAGCTTGGAACTTGGCAAATTCAGTCAGCTCGGTGAGTGTGTGTTCAGGATGCATTCAATTGCATAAATTGATTGCTTTTGTGTCACTATTGACTTTCTTCCCTCTGTATAAATGAGTTGCTTAAATTTGGAGGGTGGAATAGTGTGCTGTTTCTTTCCAGTCTAAGTGGGACATCTATAGCTACAGTGGACAAAGCACATGGACTTACCAGGGAAGGGGCAATGAAGCTCCATCTTCCCTGAAAATGAAAGGAGAAAGCACCAAGGTGCCAAGAAGTAGTAAGTACAGTGAACAGGAGCAGAAAGCCTTCATTAAACATTAGCTATATTTATTCATTCAATCAAAAGAAACACGTATTGGGTATCTTCTGGATTCATGGCCTGCTAATGGTACATAAATTCTTCTTAGGGCTCTGTCTCTAAGAAGCTTACAAATAGTGTTCACAGAGGTGAGACTTAGCACTTTTATAATTTGAAAGGGAGAAAAAAAACAAAAAGTTTATGAAAGCAGGAAGAAGTTGAGAATAGGGTAATCTTTGGGTTGGATCTCGTAGGATATAAAGAATGTGGACATGTAGAGTTGAGTGGGATCAAAGCAACTGATAAAACTAAAAAAGGCATTGGATGGGAATGGTGAGGGTATGTCAGTACCTAGAATAATCCTCATTTATAAATGAGAAATAGAATGGACAAAGGGAAGAAAACAAGTGCCCCTTCCAAAAAAAATCTGTGGGAGAATCAGAACAGGAATATCTGTCATGGTGAAGGATTTGCCTTGGGTTGCTGGCCCATCAAAGACTCTGGGGAAATACCTTCTTTTCACTTCTTTCCAGGGTTCTACATTTATGACTTCTCAATATTATTAATAAGCAAGGAATGTCTGAGTACATCACAATCAAACCATAATTAGTATGTTTTAATTATGATATACTGGTTGGAGGAGGGATAGCCTAAAGAGGATCAGAAGAAAAAAAGATCTACTAAAGGCTATGGACAAGTATAGACAACATTAAAAGCTCTACCAGACTTACTTTGGGACTTGGCAAATCACCAATACTCTTCTTTAATTTTATTTTTTTTTATTTTAAAGAGACTAAAACATGATAAAACATTAGAAATGATACAGAATTTCCAAAAACAAGATGACAGGAATTCAACAATGGTTGTTACATTGCACATTGTTGTCTGCAAAGCAGTTGCTTAGGCTACCAGATATAAGCATGTATAATTGGTCAAAATAAAAATTTTAAGCATTAACTGCGCTCTTCAAAAAACCAATACTAATTAGTAGTACAACCATCCTATTGATCCTGTGTATACACACATATGTTTTTCCCTTTCCTTCTTTTCTCCTTTCCCTCATTCCTATTTTTTCCTATCAGCTCTCTACTTTGAAGAATACCTCAATGTTTGAGCTTTCAAAAACTGGTATTTATTCAGCATTTGTATGATCTTTAGTTGTTGACAAGGTTGTCATCTTATTTCTTTTACTGTGACATATCAGTGATGTTGACCAGAGTGATGACTGTAATCATGAGGCCTGAGGACATCCCAAGTCTTTCTCCACCTACTTTATAACAATTTCTTCTGCTTGAAATGTTTTGAAGCAAAGGAGTCCTTCTGCTCTTGAGGAAATACTATCGTGCTTGTAAAAATGATGAAGAGAATTACCAAGCAAGGGATTAGGCAGGCACAGTTTGTATCTTATTTGAAGCTCTGTAGACAAGAAAAATATTTTTTTTTTTTGCTAGATAGATTGTAGCTCAGCAAGTGTGTGATCAACATGCATTCAAGTGCATAAATTAATTCCTTTTGTGCCAATGTTGACTTTTTCCTCCCTGTTTGAACAACTCAAATTTGGAGGGTGGAATAGTGTGCTGTTTCTTTCCAGTCTAAGTGGGACATCTGTAGCTACAGTGGACAAAGCACATGGACTTACCAGGGCTGGGGCAAGGAAGCTTCATCCTCTTTGAAAAGGAAAAGAGAGAGCACTAGGAGACAAGGTGGCTTCTAAAAAGCAAGGTCACAAAGCCCTCTTCCCTGGCTACCACACCCTAGGGCCTAAGAAAATTTACATTTCAACAAGGACTTAATGCTACTAAAGATTTTATGCAACATTGAAGCTTTCCAAATGTCTGCTACTTTTGTTATGGTAGACACCCTGCAACTGTATTTTTTTTTTTTTTTTAACCCTAAAAATATGGGAAAAGGTCCAGAAAAGGGTCTAGGAATTTGATGTTTCGCACCGGGAGAGTCAGAGGAACAGGACAGCCAAGAACGTCTGAGTAGGGATGGCTGGACGGGGCACTGAAGTGAGTCGGACACCAGGCACGAGGAAAGTCACGCACAGGAACGAAAGTCAGCAACTTTCTGACCTCCGGAAAGCCGGCTCATCTACCTCCAACGCCCTACACTTCTTGCCCGAGGGCAAGCGGCGAGGCAGCTCTCTGAGCCAGTCAAGTCCCTTCTGTGAACGCCTGGGAGTTCCCCCACGGTGGTCTGAGGTCCCACGGCCGGCGCGCGTGGTCCGCGGCAGCTGTCCGTGGTTCTGAATCCTCCCTTCGGCTCTGATGGGCCTGGTGCCTGCGCAGCGCGCCAGGCCCAGCAAAAAACTCTGAAGTGCGAGGGAGGGCAAGATAAGGTCCGTGACGAGTTTCCAGGCTCTGCGCTGCAAAGACCTGCCACAACCCCCTAACGACTCCATCAAAGGCTGCCGGGACGCGACAGGACCCGGAGCTAAATGACAGGTCTTTTTTCTTCCCTTGACTTTTCTCCCTGGAGACTGAATCAAGTCGTCCCGACAGCCTGTCGCCTCATGCTTTTCCTGCCTTCATCCGCTGCATGCTGCTGCTAGACCGTGATTCTCTAGACACGCCTCCAGATCCGGCAATCCAGACTACCTTTCGCTTCTCCGGTCCAGATTGTCAGCCCCTCCTCCACTTCTGAGCCCAGTCCCCCTCCCCCCACTAGTTCTCTAAACGTGGAATTGTGTGGTGCGAGCTCCGCCCCTAGTTTCCATACAGGGGAGCACTGGAGTGGTGGGCGGGACGGAGGGGAGGGGCTCCCAGCCCCTTTCAAAAGCTGCTACAGCTGGGAACCCCTGGATCACTCAGTTCCGCGGAGAAGCGAGAAGCGTGGGTCACCGTCGTGGGGAGGATTGCTAAGGGACAGCAGGAATCCTGCCCTTCCCTCCCTTTCTCGCCCGCCAAACCCCCTACACAGGTAGGACTTCGCTCCTGGGCCTTGGTTGTGTGGAACGTGAGGGCTATGCATTGAGCAGGGGTGTGTAAATAACCCGTGCATGTTTAGTTTATTATTATGGCGGGGGCGGGGAGGACAGCAGTTTTTACTGTTTTTGTTGTTGCTGTGTGGCCAGTTATCCTACGGGGAGGACTTAGTGATGGGGCCAGGTTGGGTTGGGAGGGCGTGGATGGCTCAGGAGTGACGGATGGAAAATGTGAAATGACAGACTTGATTGCCTTTGGACAGGTAGCATGGCCTCCCTGCCCACTCGAAACCCTGGGGACCCTGACTTGTCTTCTGGGCTGCCGCCGGCAGTTACTAGGGCAGCTAACCAGAGCGCAGAGGCCTCGGCGGGCAACGAATCGGCCGCGGGCTCGGGCGCCCAGGCCCTCACGCCCTTCCAGAGCCTGCAGCTGGTGCATCAGCTGAAGGGGCTGATCGTGCTGCTCTACAGCATCGTGGTGGTCGTGGGGTTGGTGGGCAACTGCCTGCTGGTGCTGGTGATCGCGAGGGTGCGCCGGCTGCACAACGTAACCAACTTCCTCATCGGCAACCTGGCCTTTTCGGACGTGCTCATGTGCGCCGCCTGCGTGCCACTCACACTGGCCTACGCCTTCGAGCCACGCGGCTGGGTGTTCGGCGGCGGCTTGTGCCACCTGGTCTTCTTCTTACAGCCGGTTACCGTCTACGTGTCGGTGTTCACGCTAACCACCATCGCAGTGGACCGCTACGTCGTGCTGGTGCACCCGCTGAGGCGCCGCATCTCGCTACGCTCAAGCGCCTATGCCGTGCTGGCCATCTGGGCGCTCTCCGCGGTGCTGGCGCTGCCGGCTGCCCTGCACACCTACCACGTCGAGCTCAAGCCGCACGACGTGCGCCTTTGCGAGGAGTTCTGGGGTTCGCAGGAGCGCCAGCGCCAGCTCTACGCTTGGGGACTGCTGCTCGGTACCTACCTGCTCCCCCTGCTGGTCATCCTGCTCTCTTACGTGCGGGTGTCGGTGAAGCTCCGGAACCGCGTGGTCCCGGGCTGCGTGACCCAGAGCCAGGCCGACTGGGACCGTGCGCGGCGCCGCCGCACCTTCTGCTTGCTGGTGATGGTCGTGGTGGTGTTCGCTGTCTGCTGGCTGCCGCTGCACGTCTTCAACCTGCTTCGTGACCTGGACCCGCGCGCCATAGACTCCTACGCCTTCGGGCTGGTGCAGCTGCTCTGCCACTGGCTCGCTATGAGCTCAGCCTGCTACAACCCCTTCATCTACGCCTGGCTGCACGACAGCTTCCGCGAGGAGCTGCGCAAGTTGTTGCTCACCTGGCCCCGGAAGATAGCGCCCCACGGCCAGGGCGTGACTGTCACCGTGGTCATTTGATACCGGGGTGCCAGACCTGGGCTGGGGAGCTTCAAGACCACTGGGCTCCGAGACTGGACTGGAGTCCTCACTCCCAGCACCAGAGCTGCAACAACACAGTGCAGGACTTAGGTCTAGTCCTCTCTCTCACTGTCTGTTCTTGTGTCTTAGTAAAATGTTTAGTGGGCTTTGGTGTGGAGGAGGCTGGGGAGAGGGAAGAGGACTTAGGATTTCTTCTTTCCTAGAAAGCCAAACAAAACCCTTTAGCAGGCATCACAAAAGTACTCCGTTCTGGTCTCTGCCAGCTTTCCTGCTTGCTCAGTGGTCATAAAGAAACACTTCTGGTGGGCTGTAGAAGGGTGGTGCTGGGCTTGGTGATGATGCTTATTTTATCTTTCTAAAGGAAACTTTAAGCTGAGCTAAAATGCCTGGTATTGTCTTGCCAACTTGAGCCCTTGAATCTCTTACAAATTGTATTTAGGATTTCAGCATTGTGTGAATAAGACTTTAATGCACCAAAAGTGTTTTCATTTTAAGACTGCTTGAATTTATGGTACAAAACAACTTACAAATTGCCTTTCAAAAGGCCTTGCTTTTGTTTTTCCTGCTCTTCCCCTCCAGCTACCATTTTAATGTGATGAGATGAATTAGTCAAAGAGTAGAAACTGAAGAGGGAAAGACCCAGTGCACTCATGGGCAGGGACAGGTGTAACTGCATAAAGACAGACATCCTGTGTACGCGCGTGTGATGCCAGGGCATCACTCATGTCTGATTTGCTGAATGCTCATTGTAAGCTGTGTGCCATGGCATCCCTTCCCTCCTCCAACTGCTCAATCGCAACAGATCAACAGCTGTCATGTGACTAGTCAGCACCTGCTCCTGGGAGACATTCTGAAAATATCAACCTAAAATACAAGGACTGGGAGTTTACCTAAAGATAGAAACACACACTGCCACTGATAAGGTTACTAAGTTCAATGTTCACTGCTTTCAGGGTTAAAGGAACAGGTGAAGACTGTTGGGTGTGACACCAGGCTGATAATCTTCGCTTTAGCCTCCAGAGAGTTTGGTTCATGAGGACAAGGGTTTTGGGACAAGGGTCTCCACAATGAATTTTGGAACAGCAACTGGAATATCCAGGGCAGAAGCCTTTGGAAATGATACACAATGTCCAGCTCTCAGATCAGCCCTTGCGGCATGTGTGGCATGAACTAGTGTCTGCAGCAACTTATTCACCAACGTAAGGTTCCAGTATTCCCCAGTTCACTAAATAGCAAAATAGTGTCTTCCCTCCTCTTATTTGTATTGATTTAAGAAAGGAGTTCAAAAGACAGGCATAGTGGTACACACCTGTAATCTCAGCACTTGGGAGGCAGAGGCAAGAGGATTGTTGTGAATTCAAAAGCAGCATGAGCTACAAAGTGAGTTCAAGGCCAGTCTGAACTGCATATTGAGGCCCTGCCTCAGAAAGACCAAAAAAAAAAAAAAAAAAAAAAAAAAAAAAAAAAAAAAAAAAAAAAAAAAAAAAAAAAAAAAAAGAAAAAGGAAAGAGATCAAGCAGTTCAGGGATAGAGATATAACTCAAGGGCACAGCACCTGCCTAGAACCTGGGTGGTCCTGAGTTCAATTCCCAGTACAGCAACAACAAAAAGGGGTTCATTCACTCATTAAAAATGCTCTGTAAAGTGAAGAAAGAGGATAGTACTGGAATGATGAGGATTAAATTCTGTTAGACCACCATCAGCTGTGATGGTGGAGCAAGTATTCTTGATTGCCAGCTATGAAAAAGTCTTTTTGCCACGTACAGAATAGCACAAAAACTGGGAGATAAAACGTAGCAAATTAAGATAGGGGGTAAAAATAACTGTGCTGACTTTGAACTTCATCTATGGATTGGAGAACAGAGAATTTTTTCCTAATAATGTAGCCCATCTGGACTGTGTGATGTAATAGCAGTAAGCCCCTGTCCTCAGACGAGTGCATTTGCTAGGCATCCCAGGTTAGTCATGAGTTCCCAAGCACCTGGACTTGACTGGGAGGGCCAAGCCAGGGCCTTCTTTTGATGGGTATTTGTAGAGAGTGTAAAGGGTACAAGAGAGAATGTGATGAGTGGAGAGATCTGATTAATTTTGGAGTCTTTGTTGAGGGGTTTAAATCACTGATTCTCAGTTCTGGTTACTCTTAAAATCACCCGGGGAGGTTTATAAAACTCTGATTCATATAGTCCTACTCCCAGAGATAACTTGAGATGGGCTTGGGACATCTGAATTTTTTCAAAGCATTTCCAGTGATTTGTATTTGCATGTAAAATTAAGCTCTTTCAGAATTATCCTTTTTTGCATCTGAAGCAAACCTCAGTTATACCTGTTAAAATTGTTAAGGTCTTGGATTTGAGTTTGACACTGAGTTGCATGTCAAATGTGAAAAACTCTTTTTTGCTCTTCACACAGTATCTAACAAAGGTTAGTCCTTCACAGAAATGGAAATCCTTGTGACCAGAACATACAGGCATTAATTCCAGTTTCTTCACATATTTCTTTTCCAAAGTACTATTGTATAAATCCAATCAGTTTAAAAGAAACATTCAGCTTTAGATCAGCATATGAAGTTATATGCCATGAATTATTTCAAATTCTCATAGTCAGGATGTTAAAAAATTAAAATGTTCCCTGACCAGCTTGATTTAAACTTGTATCAATGGTGAAAAGAAAGTATCTCCACAAATTAGTTACTGCCGCTGATTTCTTTCATGTTGACAACATCAGGTTTAAGCATTGTGTGGGCTTTATGAGCATAAAGGAGGAGAGAGGTATGGTAGGCTTAGAAAGATCCTCACAGATTATGAAAATTGGCAACTGAACAGCAACTAATTAATTGTTACCCCATGTAGCACCTATTTAGGAGTAGTATGTAAAATAAACTTGACTTGTTAAAACAAAATCTCTCAGAGACAAGTTCCAGAGAAATCCATAAAGTACTGTAGATAGGAAATTGTAATTCATAATTTGTTTTGGTTAATAACAAGATGTGTACTGAGGCCTGTTCCTGCAGGGATGCAAATGGGAGCAAAGCTGGGAACTGAGCCAGGCTGGGACTTGGCAGCAGTCCTTCCCAAGGCTGACAGGAGATTCTGTAATCCTTTCTGCAAGCATTTGCCAGGTCTCACTTTTGGCAGCTAATCAATAGACTTATCTCACTAAATCAGCAGAGAAGTGTTTCAATATGTGTTGGCAGAAGTTACCTGGAAATAGCAACTGTGAGTGATGCTAAGGTAATAGTCTTCTAATTGATGTAAACGTTCTGATTTTTTGTTCTTTTGGATTTTTTCAGGCTGCTCTTGGATATGTTTAATTTTATTTGCTTAAGTAGACTAGTCAACCACCACTGTCTTTTTTTGCATTTCTGGACATCTAGTTTTTGTTGTTGTTTTTAAATGCATGTGAGGAACTGACCTCAAGGAAATGCAGGCTTGATAGGAACAAACACAGCCCATCCATCATGGAGGAGAGGTTGGAGCCCTGTTTACAAGGCAACTGTCTTCTGATTTAACCCCATGACTGTGTCTTAGCTATGTGTGTAAGCTGCTTATATTGCTGTGTCACTGTGTGAAGCTCCTTTGACTGGGGCTTGCTTGAGCTGTATTCAATACATTGTGGGTGCTCAATAAATATTACCTTGGCTGCAGAATTTTTAGAGTGCAATTAACTACGACCCCTTTCAACCTGAAGAAGCCAGAGTGGTCATTACCCATGGTTCCCTCATGGCAGTTCGGGTTACTTCTTCAGAGGGGGGAATGTTGTAGGCAGCTGAAATTAGATAGAAATATTATAGGCAATCAGACAGGGCCAGCCCCTCCAGGGGACACTATGGAAGACAAGGTGAATTTGCAACTTGGAAGAGACAGACACTTCCGTATGTACCAGGCCTCAAGACAAAAGAGAAAACATACAGCTACATACTTCCCTAAGAATGGGCATCAGTGATTGATATTCTAAATAGGTCTCAATCAGCTTAAAAGAGCACAAATAAGTCACTAACCCAACCTCCAACAGGAAGAGACCCTGTCCTGTATTCATGCCCGCTTGCTATGTGACTCACTTCACTATTTGGTCCTGGATTTAATCAATTTAACTGAACAATGGTGTTTGTAATCTCATTGGTTGACCATATTTTGTCCCACTTCATTCCCATTTGTGTTCCCATGTTCTCCACCACCTTAGACCCACCTTGCCGCGTGGTTTGCCTCTATAAAAGTCCCTGGAAGAGACAGCTTCCTGGGGACTACCTGCTCGGGGTCCCCCTTCTGTCCCTCTCTTGGACAGGAGCTTTCTTTCCCCCAGTAAATATATTCTGCTCAAAATTAAAGGTCCTAAATCAAACAAAAAAAAAAAAAAAAAAAAAAAAAAAAAAAAAAAAGCCAACCCTTTTATACTCATGGAGTAAATACGTATATCCAGGATCAAAGCAAGGAGAAAAATCATGCTAAGGAAAACATACTTTTCAGTCTAGATTTGTCAAGTCTAGCTAATGACAGAGACAAATTCATTTTGGATCTTCTATGACCTTTAGTTCCCAACCTTAGTAGTACCAGCATTTCAATATATGGCATGAAACTCTCTGCTCCCCAGGATTGCATGTGTTGAAATCCACTGATCTTTCAAAATGAAAGTGGAAGATTCTATGTTTAATTTCTTCTTATCAAGAATATGGTTAGGCATCCAAGGGTTAACACTGCATCAACCATTTCCCACTTACAATTTTGGAAATTCTAAAAAACATCCAATATGTGGGTCTATAGATATAATCTAGAAGATTCCAAAATATTCATGATAGTTATAAACAAGATTTTCTGGTACATATGGAGTATGGTCAAGCCACATGGTGCCTGTTTACATTTAAAAAACCCTTGTATTAATAAATGACACATTGCTATTAATCTCTCTCAAAATACCCCTCTTCTCTTCAAACACACTTATCTTTTACTGTAATAGACTTAAAAGAATATTTAAACATCCACTGTAGTTTTTTATTGTATGTGATATAAATGACACCTTAAAATGGATTTATAGGTGTATTTTCAAAGGACCCTTCTCACCTGCAAAGTGAGATAAACTAGTATACAAATGTTGGGACATATTTGAATTAGATGGGAATTACAATCTTGGTTTATTAAAAGTTCAGAGATTTC